CGCATTGGACGATGGCGTAACTGAACCACGACGCATTGGACGAAGACGTAACTAAACCATGACGCATTGGGGAACATATTTACTTAACAAAGAATTGTGCTGCCTAGAGCAGTCTTTTCCACTTAAAACGTATACCAGTGGTTATAAGTGAGCTTGTTTGCTGGCTTCGATATCTTCAAACGTAAAACACTCCCTTTAATCCCGAGGACGCTGCATCAGGCTTGGTGTGGGTACCTCTGTACCTTATGAGCCTGTCGACCTGTCCGTACCATCCATTAGCTCACTGGCCCACGTGCGCGTGTGGTCCATTGGCGCATCTGAGGATCAACCACTAAATGTGCCGTTAGATGATGGCGGCGCAGATACGAGCTTTCATCGTGGAAATGGGTCCCCCGCGGCCTTAATGTTCCACACAGACGGTCGTGATTATTTGCCGAGTCAATGAGCTGGGACCCTTAATGGCATGGCCCATAAAGCATATTATCATGCCTATTACCGGGGGTTGGCAGACTGCTGGTTTTTCTGTTGATCCTATTACGGCGGCTATGATTTACTAGAAATCGGCGCTACTCGTTTTGTTGTATGCCCAACATAGGTACGAACCTGATACAGCTTTAACCTTCGTCGACACAGGAGAAATGCAGCCTTCTAGCTTTCATATAGAAACTCCCAGATCGTCAGCCCCGACATAGTAAGATATGGACCGTGCCTGGAATTTCAAGTGCGTTTCACTTGGGGCCGCTGGCGTACGACCTCGTTCCCAAAGCACCACATGGAAAATTTGTGGGCGTTCGGCACTCTGTGAAGCGCTGTTAGCTCTGTGCTCCCGGGATTTTCCTCTCTGCTAGTTTGATTGCCAGGAGCGCGATCAATGTTTGCGACACTTACCATTGTGCAGGATGTTCGAAGAGATAAAGTATCGGAGCAAAGAGCTTTAGCTAGTATGCTTTTTATTGGATTTTTAGCAGCCATTTGTGTTCGCGACCATTTCAAATCACGTGGTGAGGATATATTTTCAATGCTCGTTCATTTTTGGAGCATCGGACTTCACGCAATATTTTATAGATGTCAATTGCGTCGCTGATTTGAAGGTGACGAAGACAGTGTTCCGATCACACGAACACACTACCCTGCCAATGTTGACCTGTTATGCGCTCTGCTGTTTTCAGTCCTGCGAAAGTCTGTGGCTTTTGCGCTTCCTTCGTAACATCTCCACGGGAGGAAGACGAATGGACTCACACCAAGGGACTCCACTTCAGTTTTTGGGGTCTTACGCTTATGCTTATGGGACCAGTACGTGTTAGACCATTCTTATATGATAAGTTATGTTATCGATCTGTAAAAACCGCTTGCAGCACAATTTTGCGCCTGTCTTCTTTGTGTGTTGATTTGTTCACTCCTGAAGACCACGCGTGGAGATTTTATTCAATAGTTTTTGTGCATTCGTACTTTTGGGATGCATCATCATTTCAGATCCTGATTACGGTAAGTCCAATCTTGGGGGGTGGGGGATGAAGCTTCAAATTCGTTAAAATCCCCGACATACCTTTAAAAACGCATTTACTCAGTTTTATTGCAAGCTTGTCTAGATTTAGGCATCAGGGCTCACGCCAAACAGCGTTTTTAGGTGAACTTTGATCCCTCCGTCCGGTCGTGAGATTACATCAGAGCTCACGCCAAACAGCGTTTTTAGGTGAACTTTGATCCCTCCGTCCGGTCGTGAGATTACATCAGAGCTCACGCCAAACAGCGTTTTTAGGTGAACTCTGATCCCTCCGTCCGGTCGTGAGATTACAACTCAGCAACAGTATTTTGCGGCAAAAGGTAAACGTGCAGCATTGGTTCACCCTGACCTCTGACCTCATCTGACCTTGAGCGGCCACTTTCACTGACCGCGAGCATCTTAGTCAGGGGTGAACAGCGCTCGCATGATTTGACCTCCTCCCCGCCAAGGTGTGGTTTGACCTCCTCCCCGCCAAGGTGTGGTTTCACCTCCTCCCCGCCAAGGTGTGATTGACCTCCTCCCCGCCAAGGTGTGGTTGAAGGAAGACGCTCTGTTCGGTTGGATTTTGGGACAACCGCGAAACAGAAAGTCGTACGTTGCCACCCAGAGCAGAAAACGGAATCGAGATTAGAAAATCTCTTAAAGAGAGTATTCCACATTTCTATTGCGTTTTAAACTGAAATATTAATCCCGAAGATCATTTGGTGCAGTACATAGCCTGCCCTTCCGAAGACTTGAAACCCTTAAGTTGCTGAGCCAAACGGTCACGAAGATGTGCAGACTATTTCGAGGAGACTGTCTCAAGGTCACCCAGGCATCCATGACGTCATAACAACGCCATTCAAATCCTTCCATTCCATTTGACATGTGGCTATCAAGGCTACGAAAAATATTATAGTCGCGTCATTTATATCTGACGTCCGTGAGCACGATTTCCAGATATAACGGCCGTCAGTTGGCTCTCAATCAATGTTGTGCAAGGTGCGATGACGTGATCAAACAATGACGTATTTAGGAGCACATTCACTAAATAGAGAAATCGTGTTGCCTAATGCAGTCTTTTCATTTTGAAGCATACCAACAGTTACAAGAAAGCTTATATCATCATATCTAATGCTTGCTTCAGGAACTTCAAATGCGAAACATCCCCCTCGGGAAATTGTCTCAAACAAAGCTGAAAGACATAGGTTGATGCTTAATGCTCGTACTATGGGCTCGGTTTGCCGGCGGGTACACTGATGGGCCCAGCGGGCGGGCGTGGCGTCGGATGAGCCCAGTGGGCGGGCGTGGCGTCGGATGAGCCCAGCGGGCGGGCGTGGCGTCGGATGAGCCCAGTGGGCGGGCGTGGCGTCGGATGAGCCCAGTGGGCGGGCGTGGCGTCGGATGAGCCCAGCGGGCGGGCGTGGCGTCAGATGAGCCCAGTGGGCGGGCGTGGCGTCAGATGAGCCCAGCGGGCGGGCGTGGCGCCTCGTTCTTACGGATGGCCATCCGCGGATTGTTGGTGTTTCGTTCTCACGGATGGCCATCCGCGGATGGTTGGTGTTTCGTTCTCGCGGATGGCCATCCGCGGATGGTTGGTGTCTCGTTCTCACGGATGGCCATCCGTGGATAGTTGGTGTTTCGTTCTCACGGATGGCCATCCGTGGACGGTTGGTCTGCTTTGTATTCAAATTTCACGCGGGATCAATGCAAGCGACAGTTCGGCAGAAACTCCAGGGATGTGCTGAAGGTATCTGGCGCAGGTATTCCGAGTCATGCAGTGTCGTTTTGGCGTCGTTTTAACGTGAACATCGTAACACGCATGGGTCATTCATACTGGTCTCGATCAGATAAGCTTCCAGATTGATGGTTTTATATCAGTTCACGAAGTAAAACGGCTTTGGGACGAAGAATACACCCAAAATGTTTCGCTGACATGCAGACTACTCGTTTCAGACCAATCACGTCTCTTTAATGTGATGTGCTTATAAACAAGACAGGTAATCTGACGGATTTCTCACCGCTAACGACGTCGGTCACGTGAGCCAAGCTGATAATGTGATGTGCTTATAAACAGGACAGGTGATCTGACGGATTTCTCACCGCTAACGACGTCGGTCACGTGAGCCAAGCTGATAATGTGATGTGCTTATAAACAGGACAGGTGATCTGACAGATTTCTCACCGCTAACGACGTCGGTCACGTGAGCCAAGCTGATAATGTGATGTGCTTATAAACAGGACAGGTGATCTGACAGATTTCTCACCGCTAACGACGTCGGTCACGTGAGCCAAGCTGATAATGTGATGTGCTTATAAACAGGACAGGTGATCTGACAGATTTCTCACCGCTAACGACGTCGGTCACGTGAGCCAAGCTGACAATGTGATGTGCTTATAAACAGGACAGGTGATCTGACAGATTTCTCACCGCTAACGACGTCGGTCATGTGAGCCAAGCTGATAATGTGATGCGCTTATAAACAGGACAGGTGATCTGACAGATTTCTCACCGCTAACGACGTCGGTCATGTGAGCCAAGCTGATAATGTGATGTGCTTATAAACAGGACGGGTGATCTGACAGATTTCTCACCGCTAACGACGTCGGTCATGTGAGCCAAGCTGATAATGTGATGTGCTTATAAACAGGACGGGTGATCTGACGGATTTCTCACCGCTAACGACGTCGGTCATGTGAGCCAAGCTGATAATGTGATGTGCTTATAAACAGGACGGGTGATCTGACGGATTTCTCACCGCTAACGACGTCGGTCACGTGAGCCAAGCTGATAATGTGATGTGCTTATAAACAGGACGGGTGATCTGACAGATTTCTCACCGCTAACGACGTCGGTCACGTTAGCTCAGATGGTAATGTCCGCCCGCCAATCACGGTGCTGAAAGTCGGCGCAATGCCTTGCCGCTGATGGCGTATGTGTGACGTATGTGTGACGTGGTGCGGGTAACTGTGATCGGGCCAGCGGAGTGATGGAAAGGAATGCAGATGAAGAGACGACCAGTTGGCTCGTCACTGCTTGCAAGTCAAACGAGCTTTAATATATATATATATATATATATATATATATATATATATATATATATGTGTGTGTGTGTGTGTGTGTGTGTGTGTGCGTGCATATACCTGATATACAACAATATCCAATCTGTTACGATTCGGGCAGCGCAATAAATACATGGGCGCATACGACTTTTATTCTATGTTGACCATTCGCACCAAAAAAGGTGGAAATCCTGTGCTGCCATATTTAAACTGTATTAGGTTTTGCGTTATAGACATATTGCGCCCCTGTCATATGGAGTCGATCCGACTTCTGTCGCTCCTCTCCAGATGTAGCACGTGCTTCATTAAAACTCTGTACAAACATCCCTGACCTGCCGATGCGAACCGTGGCCGACTGACTCCATCCCTGTTTAACCGAAGGCGATTCTCTTCGGTCCTCCACAGATACAACCTGTGCTTTATGAGCGTGACCTACCTGGTGCCCATGGTCGTCATGGGGTGCTGCTTCGGCGCCATCTGCAAGAAGCTTTGGGGGGCCGAGGCCATCGGAGAGGTCAGCTCCGGCCAGTCGGAGACGCTGCGCTCCCGGAAACGGGTCAGTTCTGGCGGCAGGGTCCATTGACGGGGGTCAGGTCATGTCAGGTCCGGCGGCAGGGTCCACAGACGAGGGTCAGGTCGGGTCAGTTCCGGTGGCAGGGCGGGGTGATGAGTCAGATCTGGGGTGAAGTCGTCAGGGCTCGGTAACGGAGATGAGGTTTGTCACTGGCGCGGGGGCGGCAGGCTCCAGTTTGATAGCGGAAACGGATCGTTTCTGGTTTGGCTGTTCAGAATGGAGTGGACTCCATTCTGGGCCGGAAATGGGTCATCTCCAACGGGAGGTCCGGTCAGCTCTTCACCCTTTCCCAAGTATGCAGGTTTATCCCCTGAGGATTATGCAAAGCATATATCCGCGAGGCCAATGACGCCGCAGTTTGTTCAGGTTGCTGTTTACGGCCTTCACTTTACTTTTATTGGAGGCACTTTGACGTAACGGGGTCATTTATCGCCTTTGTGAAGCATACGAATTGCATGACTGAAATGCTCCTGCTATTTGTTATTAAAAAGTCATGTTTTTATCGGGGAGGGTTCCTGACCAACTAAACACCCGTACCCTTGACTGGGATGGTCTGCGGCACATGGCAACAGTCGTACTCTGACTGGGACGGCCCGCGGCAGATGGCAGTACTCGTACTCTTGACCGGTATGGTCTGCGGCAGATGGCAGCATTCGTACCCTTGACTGGGACGGTCTGCGGCAGATGGCAGCACTCGTACCCTTGACTGGGACGGTCTGCGGCAGATGGCGGCGGCCGCACTCGAGGTCATGTGACATCTCATGTGACATCATGAGAGATGTCATGTGACATCTCTCATGTGAGATCTCAGAGTAGGACAGACCGTGCCGAGCATCGTGGCACGTTAAACCTTCACCACTAAATTATATCGGTGGCCTCACATTTCGCAATCGAATGGCAGAGGTCGAAGCTCACAAAACAATCGCTGCTTAGCGTGCGCTCTGCTTCCGGAACTTCGTTCATTCGAAAGGATCTGGTTCAAATTTGTATGAGACGTTTATCTGTGTTTCATAGCAATTCATACAATGTGCCAGTTTTAGACCCGCCACGTCGCAGCAAAAAATTACCTCAGATAATACCCTTGCCGTGGTCTGTCCCAGTTCCCCTATATTTAGGGGTATGATATATTTCTGTGACATAGGCGGCTCGACCAGCAAAGTTCCATAACCAGTCTTCAGTCAGACAGCTATTCTGTATGCCGTTCCATAACCAGTCTTCAGTCAGACAGCTATTCTGTATGCCGTTCCATAACCAGTCTTCAGTCAGACAGCAATTCTGTATGCCGTTCCATAACCAGTCTTCAGTCAGACAGCTATGCTGTATGCCGGCAACCGGAGTGACACGGCCTCTCTTCAGCACGCTTAGCCAGGGTAAGTGCGCTAGGGAACGTCCACCGGTGCTGTCATCTTACCGGGATTCGAGTAGTATCACAAGCATTGACACAGTAGGGGGCACCAGAGACCACGCTCTCCGAATTTTGCGGGAACATTTACGTCAGTGCTACGGTGTTCCATGGCGAGAGTTGGCTTTATAAGCGAGGTTGGCCCTCCCGTGCTTTGTTACGGTACGACGACCCTAGCATCAAACGTAACGCATTTGCAGTGGTTTTCACCATTTGGTCATCACGTGTGAACGGCGGGCATAAGAGCACGATATTTCAGTTCAAAAATTGTGTAAGATTACTTAAAAGTCATTTCACGGGCGCGAATGACGAGCCATTGTTTCGCAAAGGCACTTGGTGTCGCCCTGCATGACAAATTCAAATAGGCACCTTTCCTCTGGGCAGCCGCTCTGGGGTCTGTGACGTTCCAGTGTGGTAAGAGCAAAACATAGACTCGTGCGAGCGACGCTCGTACTTTTATCAAGGAACGTCATGTGAGCGGAACCTTATTTGCTTTTTGCTTAACTCGAAGCACTTACACTGCTGCTTTTATTGGTCACCGTATTTGATCACACTTGTGGCTGCTTTAGTGACCTTTAGTCACCGTATTTGATCACACTCGTGGCAGCTTTAGTGGCCTTTAGTCACCGTATTTGATCACACCCGTGGCAGCTTTAGTGGCTTTTAGTCACCGTATTTGATCACACTCGTGGCAGCTTTAGTGGCCTTTAAACTCCGCAGAGCCCGTCTGTTAACCCAGCTCCCTTCAGCTGAGGAGGCGAAGGGGAGGGGAAGCAAAGTGGCACCATCCTGTCTGCTGTTCGTATCCAAACTCCATGCGGTATTGTGCTGTACATTATGTGAATCCCACATAGATTATTAGTACATATTTCAGATGAGCTTTCGAATAAAGAACATTCGTGCACTCTTCTGAGCATTCGAATGCGGTGAATTTTCCACGCCAAAATAAACGTTCAAGGTTTTAAAACCGCCAACAGTGAAAACAAACGGTTTAACATGTAACTGGCTGCATCAGGCATTTAATACCAATTCTGGACCTAGCAGTCAGTTCGGATTTATGTCCGTGGCTGATGTATTGACAAGTTCAAGCTAACATGTCCGTTGTTGATTCAATAGCATAAGTTTTTTTTGGTTCGTTGACGCAGGGGTTACTTCCAAAGAAGTGAGATGCACCACAATGCCTATGTGTCGCCGATGTACCGGGCTGTCCTATATCATCCTAAATGCCCTACATATATATATATATATATATATATATATATATATACATATAATAATTCCTATATCAGAACTGTGGGCTCTCTAGGGCCCACGTTGAAAAGAACGGTGCGCAAGGAATAAAGCAGGGTTGATATCTACGCATGCGCAGTCAGGCACGTGTTTTTTTCATCCATGGAGGTGATCTGCTACCCAGAAAGCTACTGGTGGGTGATCTGCCAGCCAGTAAGCTTGCGTGAGCATCGACAGGAACTATTAGGCACTTAAGAAACCGAAATATAGCGGAGCACATGCATGACGTCTTCGTTATTGTGCAGTTCAGCTATTTCGTTCTTAAAGAGATAACCTTTAACAGTATTCCAGCCGCTGCTGGTGCGGGGTGATATCCGCACGCAACCCAGCCGATTGCACGACATGAACCAATGCTGGATTTTCGTATGTTCTAATATACCACCGGGAGAACCATTTCGTCGGATAACCATCGATTCCTGCCATCTAAGCCCACTACCATCTTGTACTCGATTTAGATGATTGCCTGTGCATTGATTTAGGCACTGTAACCAAGTAAAAGCTGTTGACGGTGTGAAAGACCCGCGCGAGCACTTGACCTGGAGACCGCTGGTCTGCAGCCCCTGACCTTGACCTTGACCTGGAGACCGCTGGTCTGCAGCCCCTGGCCTTCCCTACACGAGCGGGCTCCTTCATGGCCCGCGGGACAGCTGATCCTCTCATGGCCCGTCCGACTTCGCGGAACCCAGCAGGCTCGTCAGGCCGCAGTGTTTCTCGAATGGCGCCCATGCAGCGGTGCATGGTAGGCATTACCGTCAAGAGGACCGCCGACAATTAAAACATCATCCCATGATGAGAACTGTTTGGTAGCAGTCAAGGGGAAATATCGCTATGCTTTCCAGGTGCACCAAGGACAATAGTTTCCGTCGGGCTCAGTCCTTTAAGGTGGATTGTCTACATATGGGGCGACAAATGACGTCACTGACGTGCTCATTCAGGACGGTGATCTTTCCCAACCCAATAGTGATCCACTGATTCTTAGGAATGATCTTCGGTGTCTTTTTTCGTGTATTTTGCGTTCCTTGCCTTCATCTAAGTCGTAAATCATACGCTTTGTTCAACTGCCCATGTTCTATGTATGGCTATGCTATAAAACAAGTGGCTATGTTTCGGCTCACTGAAGGATTAAACCTAATCAATAATATTTTCCGTTGACCCAGAGTCCTTTCAGTCCCATCTCAGTCCCACGGTAACTACAGATGTTGGCATGCTCAGCGGCCATACAAGCACCAAAATAATGACCCAGTGACGTGAAAAGGGTGAATGAAAAATAAAAAAGATAAAAAGGCATTTATATACATTTCCAATACTGATATATATATATATATATAGCATTTCCAAATATATATATATGTATATATAACATTTCCAAATATATATATATATATATATATATATATATATATATATGTATATTTATATATTTGATATTCGAAAAGCTACCCCCAGCCGGAGAGCAATGCGTGGCTAGTGAACTTTGTCATTATACTTGGTCATTATACCTACTTAAATATACTTACCTGCCGTTTCATTCATTTCGGTATTAAGCCCTGTTTGTACAGACCGACACCTGAATAGCGTGATAGATAAGTCTTTTTATCAAATCTCACACTGTCTTTCTTCAGGTGGTGAAGATGTGCTTCAGCGTTTTCGTCATCTTCGGCATCTGCTGGCTGCCATACCAGTTCTACTTCATCTACGTCTACCACTATCCTCAGGTAACGTGTAATCTGATAGTTTGCATGCAGATGACTTGAAATTTATGAACTGTCACGTTTAAAGAATAGGGCTTTCTGTTGCGGAGAGCCGTAATAACCTGCGATCTCTGGTGGATGCAAACGTATCAGCCCTGGGAGAGCACGGCGGCCCGGAGGGGAGGGGGATAGAGAGCGCGGCGGCCGGGGGGGAGGGGGATGGAGAGCGCGGCAGCCGGGGGGGGGAGGGGGATGGAGAGCGCGGTGGCCGGGGGGGAGGGGGATGGAGAGCGCGGTGGCCGGGGGAGGAGGGGGATGGAGAGCGCGGCGGCCGGGGGGGAGGGGGGATGGAGAGCGCGGCGGCCGGGGGGGGGATGGAGAGCGCGGCGGCCGGGGGGGAGGGGGATGGAGAGCGCGGCGGCCGGGGGAGGAGGGGGATGGAGAGCGCGGCGGCCGGGGGAGGATGGGGATGGAAAGCGCGGCGGCAGGGGGAGGAGGGGGATGGAGAGCGCGGCGGCCGGGGGAGGAGGGGGATGGAGAGCGCGGCGGCCGGGGGAGGAGGGGGATGGAGAGCGCGGCGGCCGGGGGAGGAGGGGATGGGGGGATGGGTGGACTGAATCAGGCTGCTCGAGCTGAAACATTTATCAACATCAAATATTTCTCAGTTCAGATTGAGACGCTTCCGGCCTGCAGCCTCTCGTAATTACAACTACGTGTATTGACATGCGGAGGCTCTGCTTGGCACCATCTTGGCCTTGATAACATGGCACACCGCCATTGAATGTCCCTTCTAATCGAAATTTTATCGCGACATGCTGGCCGACTAAATAAAGCCACACCACAGCAATTCGTCGAGTTTCGGCAACTTTGAAACTCAGAGTTGACTGCTGCCTGAAGGGGTATTACGGGTCCGCTGGACTGTAGCGCTGGACTGAATTTTGAGAATGATGAGAGAATTTGAGGAGTAACGACAGCCTCCAACTCATATCATACTCTGCATAACTTTGCATTACATAACTCTGCATTACAGCTGACGACAAACACCATGGAGCACGCAAATGCGACAAAATGTAGCAACCGGCGGCCACACAGGGAGATCAAGTGTAAAACGCAGTCAAACCTAAGCATCGTCGGGTTGGAGGTCACCATGTCCTGAGCATCGTCGGGTTGGAGGTCACCATGTCCTAAGCATCGTCGGGTTGGAGGTCACCATGTCCTAAGCATCGTCGGGTTGGAGGTCACCATGTCCTAGGCATCGTCGGGTTGGAGGTCACCATGTCCTAGGCATCGTCGGGTTGGTCACCATGTCCTAAGCATCGTCGGGGTTGGAGGTCACCATGTCCTAAGCATCGTCGGGGTTGGAGGTCACCATGTCCGAGCCACCATTCCTACAAGCTGGAAATGGCCCCGCCTGACGCCCCAGAACCAACACCCCGGAATCCGTTGCAGATCATCGCGACGTGGTACGTGCAGCACGTGTTCTTGGCCTTCTACTGGCTCGCCATGTCCACCGCCATGGTCAACCCACTCGTCTACTACTGGATGAACCAGAGGTAACAGCTGCCATCATCGCCTCGCGTACAACAATGGTGGCTTCCAATATGCAATACAGTGGAGTTTTTCTATATACAATACTGTAAAATGGCGTCTTCCAATATGCAGTTCTATACAATGGCGTCTTCCAATAAAGAATACAATGGCTTCCTCCAACAAAGAATTCAATGGCGTCTTCCAATGAAGAATACAATGGCGTATTCCGTCAGGATCCGGACTTTCATGTTTTCGGTCACGGTGCAGCAGAGGTTTATGTAAATGCGATGTTTACACTTCGTTAGATTGCCAACATATGGTAATTTGTTCGCTTGGAATTCGTGGAAGAAGAGCGAGCGCACGTGCTGTCCGACGTTGGCCTCTTCCCGGCGATTCCCGCGCTCGCTGGAAGCGTGTCTGCGTGCCAACTTTGGACGAGGTCGGCTGGTTACCGTGCATCGCTTGGCATGCAGTTCGCGCGGTTTTCTTCTGACGCCGTTCCCGCCACGCGCTAGCCAGGGTCTGCCAGTCAGCATTCGGCTCGCTCTCTGGCTCGCGCTTCGTTTGCGGAGATCATCACGACGGTCAGCCGGCGGGCTCCCGCACGGAAGGCACTTCACGGCTGGCCGGGCGCTTGTTGACAGTGATCAGGTTCTGCTGTGGGAGCTGGCGACATGCCGAATCTGGGCCAGCTCAGTATCGCCATCCGTCACAGCTGGTACGAACCATGACAAACATCACTCAATTCCACCACCACCTGTACCGCCACCACATCCACTACATCACACCAGCAAAAATGAGCACGAACGGAAGTCCAGCTTGGCGACGGCCTCGCAGCGGCATGCTGACTGGCTCTGCCGCCGCCAGATTCCGGGTGTACTTCACCAGGGTGCTGCGGACCATCTTCTGCTGCACGTGCGTCACTGGCAGCACCAACAGAGGTCAGCAGTCATAGCGGGCATCCGGGCATGTCCGCGCCGCGTCAGCAGGCGCTGTTGATAACGTTGTTGAAAATCTTGTATGCTGGTAGTAATTATATAAATATGATAGTAAATATGCCAGTAATGCACGTAGCTATTAAATATTAGTCAATTTCTATATGCTTATATATATATATATATACATGAACATATATATATATATATATATATATATATATATATATATATATATATACATGAACATATTATATATATATATATATATATATATATATATATATATATATATTCATTTATTTAGTAATAGTACGAAGTCCATTAAGTTTCATGTTTTAATGCTAGGTCGTGAGCTCCCCAACACCACTACGTCCTCCCGTCAAGCCCCGCTGATTTCTGTCTGATCCGGAACTGATGTTGCATGCAAGGTTTTTCTGCACAAAATGACATGCTATAAATCGCTCATGAAGCTTGGGTGACCAGTAAGATCCCTGGCATCGCACAAGCGCGGCGGCACCGAGCGTGATCACGTGGCGTGATCACGTGATGGACATGATCATCGTGACGTGATCACGTGACGGACATGATCATCGTGACGTGATCACGTGATGGACATGATCATCGTGACGTGATCATGTGATGGACATGATCATCGTGACGTGATCATTGCTGTCATCGTGCAGATGGCATGAAACACGGGTGACTGGAACCTCAAGGCTTTGGGGATCAAATACGGAGGACTTATGAATGCCATAAGTATTTGTATTTCACAAGCTGAACGGGTGGACTGCTCTGGCGACTACCATCCGGGAACAAATTCACAACTGTCAGTGCTACAGTGTCACAACTGTCAGTGTCACAACTGCTGTGTCAGTGTGGTGCGGCCTGTCTTCAGCCCACCAGGATTCTGTACTTTTAGTCGACGCGGTGAATGTGTTTGGAGAAGGCTACGTTCTCCGTGTCGGTGATGGCAGTAATGAAAGGCTAAATGTTTTGGGTGGTGTTGGCCACAATTAATTTGGCGTGGACGTACCTTTCGTAACAGATGGGTGCCTTTGAACTCAACATGGCCCGATGTGTCTTGATTTGGGCTAAGGCGTGTCGCATCTTAGGTCTGTTTCGGAGAAAATGGCATTGTCTGCCTCCCAGTCTATTACCGGCGCGCCTTTAACCCCAGTGACGTCGAAATCTCCCAGGGATTTGTAGGGCGTTGTTTGTGTGGCGTTTCCATCCCGATTTCAACCGGTCACAACCAAACCAAATGGTGCGTCTCTCCCTGCTCCACGTACCAAAATTTGCACGTAAGTCCAAGAAAAATCGAACACGGGCGTACCAAGAACTTGTTCACACGATTGCTCCTTGATAGTGCGGGTCAACTTGCCATGTTGTCGACAGAGTGTTCTGTTCACTGTTCCGTTTGTTTCGGTTAGTCAATATCGCTGCGACGTCTGGCTGCGAGATCTTAATCCGCTTCAGCCCCAAATTCTTAAGCTTTTCATGGCTTAAAAATACCACGTTTGACATGCCAGATCTCCTCTCACTGAAACCTTTCGAAACACAAAGAAATATGTGACTTGCCTGGCGTAGATGCGACAAAGCAAATTCATATATCGCCACCGCGTCCCCACTCATAGGCATGCAGTACACACAGAGATTGCTCGCATACCCAAACACGGTCCACGACGAATGTCCCTTGCAGTAAATGATCCTCAAAGCCGGCCTTGCTCCATTCGTCACGCGCCTTCAGACCTTTATTTATGTATTGAAAACGCTAGTACGCAGCCCCGTGCGCAAGAGAAGTCGGCACATTACTTGGACACGAGCGCGAGCATTGTTCGTGACGAACAGGGATGCCGGCAAGAAACACCAAGCTATCATACTGTCTATATATAAGCTGCAGACAGCACACAAAGTACAGTTTAGCTCGTCCGTCCCAGCGACGTCAGAGCTCTGGTCGTCCGTCCCGGTGACGTCTGAGCTCTGGTCATCCGTCCCGGTGACGTGAGAGCTCTGGTCATCCGTCCCGGTGACGTCAGAGCTCTGGTCGTCCGTCCCGGTGACGTCTGAGCTCTGGTCGTCCGTCCCGGTGACGTGAGAGCTCTGGTCATCCGTCCCGGTGACGTCTGAGCTCTGGTCGTCCGTCCCGGTGACGTCAGAGCTCTGGTCGTCCGTCCCGGTGACGTCTGAGCTCTGGTCGTCCGTCCCGGTGACGTCAGAGCTCTGGTCGTCCGTCCCGGTGACGTCTGAGCTCTGGTCATCCGTCCCGGTGACGTGAGAGCTCTGGCAGCTACATTGCAAGCCACGGGGTAATTTACCCTCGTTGAAAAGCCTGCTCTATCTACTCGAAAGTGCATGTAGGCATTTAGAGTCGCCACTTCTCTGTAGGCATGTAGGCGTGAACTTGATAAAATGGTACGCACAGCACAAGAAAGATCGTTCATTATCTTTTCGGAGCTGACTTTTTTATCTAAGAACCAACCGGAGGATGCTCAAATGTTGATGAAAAGACAAGCTTGCCTACCAACGCCGTTTCTACTTTGTTTTCAGTGCCGTTCCCCATGCGTTTTCAGATTTCACGTGGCTGGAGAGAGGAACGCCGGCGTACAGCTCTGCATTCTCATTCCTCCGACAAGCAGGCACTGTTCGGCGCAGTTCTACCCAGATAACAGCACTCGAGGTACATAGATCCATCAGACATTACGGCGAGACAACAAAACTTATCAGACATTACGGCGAGGAACTCAGATCCATCAGACAGTACGGCGGGGAACTCCGATCTATCAAACATTACGACGAGAAACTCAGATCCATCAGACATTACGGCGAGGAACTCAGATCCATCAGACAACGCGGAGAGGGACTCAAATCCGTCAGACGTTACAGCGATGAACATGGATCCAGTAGACGTTCTGTCGGGGAACACAGGCTCATCAAACAATACGGTGAGGAACATAGGTCCACCAGCAATTACGACGGGAAACACAAATCCACCAGACGTTACGGCGAGGAACTCACACCCACTAGACATTATGGCAAGGAACTCAGATCCATCAGACATCACGGAGAGGTGCACAGATCCATCAGACTTACAGCGAGGAGCACAGCTTCACCAGACATCACGGTGTGGAACATTAGCTCATTCATGACAGGCTCTACACTCTGAGGCAAGACTCGAGAGATACGAGCTTTGACGCTATGCTCAAAATGAGGCCAGTCAAAATCTATCAGGACTCAATACAAATTAAGCGGCTCAGCTACATTGTCCGCACATTACGACGATTTGGAACAAAAGTATTGGACTATGGATAAGAACGACATGCTTACACAAACGTAATATGTCTCACGATCTGAAGCTCTCATGTCTGATCTGTTCTGTGACGCTTTTAGTTTACTGTTCTAGTTCTGTTCAGTCCTGTTTCCTGTTTCCTGTTCTGATCGGTTCTGTTCAGTCCCGTTTTCTGTTTCCTCTTCAGTCCTGTTTTCTGTTTCCGGTTCAGTCCTGTTATATGTTTCCTTTTCAGGGATTTGTTCTGTTTTCTGTTTACCCCTTCTTCCTCCCCATAACATGTTCAGCTCCAGTGCCCTCCGCTCTAACCACGACCTCTTGCCCAGATAAGTATTCTCCGTCGGTGCCGCAGGCAAACGACCTGGAGCTGGCGACGCCATCTGCGACCGCCTGCGCCTGTCGCCTGCCGCAGGCGGTTACGCTCAGCCTGGAGGCGGAGCCGCTGGCGTCGGTGCCGCCCTGCGCCTGTCTGCAGGCGCCGCCGGCGGACCCGGCCTTCACCGGCGGCGCCGTGCAGGCACGGGCGGCGGGAGGTGCGGCACAGGCGGCGGGAGGTGCGGCACAGGCGGCGGGAGACGCGGAACAGGCGGCGGGAAGTGCGGCACAGGCGGCGGGAGGTGCGTCACGGGCGGCGGGAGGTGCGGCACAGGCGGCGGGAAGTGCGGAACAGGCGGCGGGAGGTGCGAAGCAGGCGGCGGGAGGTGCGGAACAGGCGGCGGGAGGTGCGGAACAGGCGGCGGGAAGTGCGGAGCAGGCGGCGGGAGGTGCGTCACAGGCGGCGGGAGGTGCGTCACAGGCGGCGGAAGGTGCGTCACAGGCGGCGGGAGGTGCGTCACAGGCGGCGGGAGGTGCGTCACAGGCGGCGGGACAGGCGGCGGGAGGTGCGGAACAGGCGGCGGGAGGTGCGTCACAGGCGGAAACGGCAAATCCGCGGGGTGTGTTGTGGGGACGCGGGGACGGGCTGTCGTGAAGACGGCGCGGCAGGGGAAGTGAGAACACGGTGGAGGTGGGCGGCTTGAGGCGTAATGGATGTATGAGCAACAGAACGGGAGGGACGATCGTGAGTTCTACCCCGAGGGGAAAGGTTTGAGACGGGATCAGTTTCTGAAAGGTACGGCAGTGAGTATCGTGTGGGTCAACACCGCCCTGAAGAAAGCGGCAGGTGTCGTAAGGCAGAGTCTTTCACTCTGTCTCAGTGAGGCGGCAGGAAGGCATTGACGTGTGGACGGTACCCGAGCGGAGTGAGGTAGCTGAACCACATCTCAGTCCTTGAAACAAATAAGGGTGTTAAGCATGACAAGAAGGGCCCTGGCACAGCGAGGAAGACATTCCGTGCAAGAGCAGGGGAAGGAGGAGGGGAAGCGGTACGAAATGACTCGGCTAGGACAGGGGACAGGTCAACACAGAACAACAAGCGCCCTGGCCAGCCAAAGACATGATGAAGAATATGGGGACAGGACTGGCAAGTATGGGGACAGGACGAGCGAGTACCGAAACCAACGATAGCCGTCAGCCGCATGCTCACTGCAACACGCGGGGATGAAGCGACGACCAGCCTGCCTGGCTTATCCTAAAAGATGCCGGCGATCCAGATGGTCCGCTGCCGTCACGACCCACCGTCCTGCGCTGCACCAGATGCGTCCAGTGGGGACGGTGGTACTGGGTGTCCGGAATAGTGAGACCACTAAGCTGTGCGTTGTTTGCAGTGCACAGTCCATACTTACACCTGCTCTCCTGCTCTCATGAAGGCCCGCGTGACGCAGCGTTTTAAAACGTTGAACAAAATATGCTGATACCCTAACAAGCAATGCACAGGATGGCCACGAATATCCGCAATTCATAAACAACGGAAATAACAGGTGAAAACTTTCTATAATATTTGTTGCTACAAAGTTTGATTGCGTGATACGTTAAATAATTATTTGTTGGGAGTTGGTGAATAAGCTTGAGCGTGTCCGACAACAAGCCTGCTCTTGCCAGCAAGGTCGCGACACGTGGTATTGGCCAGCGAACACAGCGGTCCAATGTGTCAGCGGACCTCACTAGGTAAGACGGCAGTAATAGCCCCATTCCTCGTAGAAAAACCAGGAGGGTGGAGATACAGATGCGCTGAGATTTCGGCTACATGCCTTTATCGAAAGTAATAGCAGAAGTAAATTCAAAATTGCTTGCTGATGACCCTATCCGATTGTTACATGTTTTTTTAAAGTATTGAGCCACAGCTTTTACATGCCACCAGCATTCTGGGGATTTTACAAAAGACAGTTGCGAGCCATGGCTACGGTACAGTGCATATTCAACTAAGAATTGGAACACGCGAAAATGCGCGCACATGTTAACAAATTCACGCTAACAAGCATCACGCATCCCTCTTCATTCAAACATGCAAGCGAGTTCAAGCTAACAGGCATTACACATCAAGTATCAATTTTGCATGCAAACGATTTCACTTAAATAGGCATCTTGCATCAGGCGTCATGCATCAGTTATGCATGTCAACGATTTTATACCAGCACACATCACCCATCTAGGCACTTATCACGTTCGCATAATCGACCATGGTGAGTCCTGTACGTTGAGATCTGATCGCCGACTTTTTACAAGAAAAGATGCACTTATTTTCCTGTCTGGGTGGTCTTGTGCCCTGAAGATGACTTTGAACTCGAAAATGGACATAGGGCGCATGCCTCCCTATTCGCATAGAAAGTTGGCGACCAAACCTCAACGTACAGGGCTCATAATGGCCGACTGTGCGAACGTGACCTGTGCCTTTAGGTGTGACGCATCCTAGCGTGATGCGCGATGGCTGGTTAATTGAAATAGTCTGCATGTGTAATTGATGCGTGATGTGTAATGTTTGCTTGCTCTGACCTGCTTGCGTGCTGCGTGATGCCCGTCTGCTAGAATTTGTTTGCATTAGCACACATTCTTCGCGTCTTGTAATTCTTAGTCAGATATGCACTGTATCGTAGTAATGGCTAGCAGTTGCTCCTTGTTTAATGCCCTGAAGGCTGGCGACCCGGAAAAGCTGTGGCCCGCTGTTTCGAAAAAAGCAAACGAAAAATCGAGTAGGATCATCGAAAGACAATTTTGGATATACTTCTGCCATTCCTTTTGACACAGGCATATTGCCGAAATACCAACGCATCTACGTCCCCATTCTCCTGGCTTTCATACCGGGAATAAGGCCGTGACCGTTGTCTTATGTATGTGCGCAAGGTTCCTTGCAAATTTACTCAACAGTTTACGTAGCCTGGCCGTATCGCAAATGTTGTATAACTAGCGCCAGCCACGTACCTATAAGTTTCGTCAACGGTGAGCAAAAGAGGGCAAATTTCAATGTTTCATCAAACTTCTACCAGTTTGGACCAAATTCCTGCGAGATCACCCGGATTTAATGTCAGCCACTTGTCTCGGGGAGATCATAGCCCTCTTGTCTCCCACTCTTGTCTCCCATGGCCCCACTCTTTGGCGACATCACTAACTTGCGCAGAAAGCATGGTATCGTAAATAGCCAATTTTGCGTCATTTTTTGTCACCTTTGTACTTTTATGTCACGTGCACGGATGTAGAAAGGAGTCTTCAAAAACAGATCTTTCCGTGTCATCTTGAGGCATGTTAAGAGTGCCGGCCCGAGTCAATGGCGTGTCAAGGGCGTGTCAAGGGTACACCGGACATTGCCACCGTCGCTGTTTTGTGCGCCCTTCTCCCTTCTTTGGCTATTCCCTTCGGAATCGCGAAGATTATCTGCGGCCCTCCGTTAGCTGTAGTCGAGGACGGAAAGTTGAGTCGAGTAGTATGAGTTCGAGGACGGAGGACGGAGAAGGCAGAGTCGAACTCCCTAAGCCAATGGAGTCGTTAATCGGCTCTCTGTATAGGGACACATGGGTCGACAGGATTGTCTGACGTTGATTTTGTGATGTTGATTGTCTGATGTTGAATATCAGATGTCATTGCTGTGGATCCAAGTAGTTGAGAATGGAACTCTGGCTCTGGCGTTGTATGCTGGTGTTCACCAGACATCTTCTTTCTAGGTGCGCTTCCCTGAGATATCTTAGCACGTGTGCTACGCTGAGATATCTTACCATGTGCGCTACCCCGAGATATCTTACCATGTGCGCTACCTTGAGATGCCTGACAATGGTGTGCGCCCTCCAGCATGAAATTCCCTCTCAAAGTCGCAAACTCACCCGCAGTGGGGTTAACGTGGAGGCTCCCCCTCGGACGGCACTCCGCGCCGTTCACTTACTTTCTGTATGACCCATTCGGCTGTACAAACGCGTGTTGGCTCTCGCGGTGCGCGCCCGAGGATCGGAAACTAGCCCTACGACAGCAGCAGGCGTCGTGCGCATGTGCCCGCGGCGCACTCGGCCACGGTGTCCGGTGATTGCATCTCACCGGTGAGCGCTCCAAACCCTCGGGGTGAAGTCGGCGTGGGTTGTTGATTAATCTGTACACCACCCCCGGGCTGGGGCGAGACATGCGCCCACCGGGGCTCACTGCGGACGTGGTTCGTGTTGTGCGCTTTGACGTACACCCACTGGGGATGGGCTTACCCACCCGCGTCCGTCGGTGACGGCTTGCGTGACGCTCGAGCCGACGTGTCAGCAGTGTGTGTGTGTGTCTGCGTGTGACGTGCACACGGAGTGTGCCTGCAGCCTGCACCCAGAGCGCCGACCTGATCGCGCTGCCAATCACCGGCAGCGACGCCGACCGCAGTGTGAAGCTCATTGGTCGGGCGGCACGCCCACAACACGTGTGATCGGGACGAGTGGGCCCAGGGCGCGAGAACCGCGGCGCGAGGAGCCGCCGTTGACGCCCGTAGGCCCGTCTGCAGCGCGGTGTACACCAGGTGCACGATATCACTGGCAATGTGCCAGTGTGACAAGCACCGTCATCGGTGTGCTCATGTGGCGTCTTGATGTGCTCTGACTTGTCCGACGGATGTGTTCTGGTGTCGTCATGAAATATACTGCGGGAAGACCAGCAGAGTGGTGGTTTGCCGGACGCAGCGGTCCAGAGCTGCACTGAGTCACGTGCGGCTGCTCAGGCCATACAAACTGTGGTCTCTGATGTTCTGTGGTCTCCGAGGTCACCGTAAGGAAGGAACAGCGATGTCGATTTTCTAATCTAAACACAAATTGCTAAACAAAACGTTCCGTCTTCTCTGTAGTCCTATACCGGCCACCGGCCACTAGCCACACATAACCGCCCGAGTGACTCACTCTCGGCCACGTGGCACGTGACTGCATCACCCGTGAGGCAGTGTGGGTTATGTGCATACTAGCACTAGCCAGGGTACTAGACTTGCCTTCGTTCAAGCCCAGGCTTGATCACTCGCCGCATTCCATCTGTTCCGTCGGAACCTGAACTTTGCCTGTCTTCGTAATGCGGTTCGATGCTTCCTCAACAGGCGCCTTTAGCGCCTCGCCACCTGCCAGTTGCATCAGACAATTCTGGGATCGCAAGGCGATGCCCTACTTTGTGACTCGCTTAGCCGACCATCGTACTATTTCGAAGTCACGACTAATGACGGAGGCGACTATTTCAAAGTCACCCAGGCATCTCTGACACCATAGCAACGCCGTTCAATTCACCACCAGAGGCGAATCGAATAACGGCCGACCACCGATTCAAGCCAGTCGTCCTTCCACATGCGGCACAAAGCCAGCGTGGCAATGACGCGTGTATTTATGCATCTTGCTTTGCAAATCAAGGTATGGCACATCAGCAGTCAAGCCCGAGGCGATAGCGTCAAACCAACACGCTGAATTCCAGCCTTTGCACTCACAGCGACTTTGTCTGGCAGCGGGCGCCACATTGCGCCAGAACGCGTCATGCGCCGGCCGCTTTCACGACGGCTTACTGCACATTTTGAAACATTTCCGGACACGCACTAAAATTTAGGATACCAAGCAGTTCCAAGCATTTCATTTTAAGGACGTGTGTTTCTCCACTTTCAGCTGGTTGCACAGAACCTTATATATATATATATATATATATATATATATATATAGTTGCTACTTTCTTGTAACAACTATCGCGGCCAGTATCAAATGCCGGCATTCATTTTTAGGAGGAGAAAATCGTTGACGGTTTCGGCCAAGCCACACTGAATTTGAGCTCCAAGCACAGCGAAGACCAGCCCAATTTTTTAGAGCAAAAACGCCCGTTCAAATCGGGCGGCACCGACAGATCTCCTCGATGTACCGCCACGGAATTTTTCGCACTGATCTGGATAGAGCACACCCCGGCGTACCTCTGACGTCACAGCAAGGGTC